CCATACATATATCGCCTTTGAGTTTTCGCGTTGAATAAATGTACGTAACCCTGAATAAGTTCCTTGCATTGCAGCAGCACCATCGTACGCCTGCGCACATAAGTTTTTCTTCCAATCAATGTTATGTTTCTCTGTTATTTCACAAAACTTTTCATACAATCCTTTTCCAGTCCCATCAGCTGCAGCCTCTAATGCTACAAGCCTTTCTTCAATCGCACCATGTATATTAACAAATCTTATAATAAATGAAAACTGTTCAATATTTGCGACATCAGTGGTTGTATCAATAATGACTGATAACAATCCAGCTTTTTTAATTCTAGTTAAAATTGAGCATCTTACTAATTCTCCCAAAATTTTAAGAATTTTATTTTGACTTATTTGTGATAAAAAAGTAAGTCTATTAATTTTTTTGTTTTTTAATTTATCTAAGTGTATTTTTAAAACAGCATTATGATGACTAAGAAGCTCTACTAATTCTAAAAAATTACCTCTATTGTTTGAAGTTAACTTTTCATCATGTCCTCTAAGGGCTATATTCTGACGTGCAGTAAATATTATAATTTCAATGATGACACGAAGAACTTCTCGATTCTCAGCAACATTTCTATTTGCATTTTCCATTATATGCAAATCAACTCTATAATTTTTTTGGTACAATCCCCGACTAACTTCAGATTCTAAATGTTCAGTGCTGCATTCATGATTTTTTATATTTCTATTGAGATTTGTCCAATCATTTGATCCATTGGCCATGACTGATTTTTTGGCTTTAGTAAATCCGAATAACTTGCAAGAATAACAATATATGCGGTCAGAAGAAGGAGAGTAGGAAAGCCATAATCTTTTTGTTGGTAATTGATTTACAGTTTCTTTAGTATAATAATATGATTCGTGGAAAGAACGGCTTCTACCCATAGAGTCTGTCTTAACAGGAAATATATTACCAATTAATTCATTGGGTAACGGCTGACAAGGTCCTAAGTCAACAAGATAACTTAATAATGAACTTGACACAAATTGAGGAATCAAAGCTGGATCATTTGCATATTTATTGACTTCTATATATGTAGATCCTCCTTAAATAAAACAACAGTAATTTAGTATAAAACTACAAAATATAAAAAATATAAAATAAACAAATAAAAATGAATTGACAATTTAAATATTACATACCAGCAGACCGAGTAAAATCATTTATTGAAATACATTCTACATTTGATGCATCAACAGATTCATTATTCTCTGGGCATGTAGATCCTCCTTAAATAAAACAACAGTAATTTAGTATAAAACTACAAAACATAAAAAATATAAAATAAACAAATAAAAATGAATTGACAATTTAAATATTACATACCAACAGACTGAGTAAAATCATTTATTGAAATACATTCTACATTTGATTCATCAACAGATTCATTATTCTCTGGGCATGTAGATCCTCCTTAAATAAAACAACAGTAATTTAGTATAAAACTACAAAACATAAAAAATATAAAATAAACAAATACATATTAATTGACAATTTAAATATTACATACCAACAGACTGAGTAAAATCATTTATTGAAATACATTCTACATTTGATGCATCAACAGATTCATTATTCTCTGGGCATATAGATCCTCCTTAAATAAAACAACAGTAATTTAGTATAAAACTACAAAACATAAAAAATATAAAATAAACAAATAAAAATGAATTGACAATTTAAATATTACATACCAGCAGACCGAGTAAAATCATTTATTGAAATACATTCTACATTTGATGCATCAACAGATTCATTATTCTCTGGGCATCTAGATCCTCCTTAAATAAAACAACAGTAATTTAGTATAAAACTACAAAACATAAAAAATATAAAAAAAAAAAAAAATGAATTGACAATTTAAATATTACATACCAGCAGACCGAGTAAAATCATTTATTGAAATACATTCTACATTTGATTCATCAACAGATTCATTATTCTCTGGGCATGTAGATCCTCCTTAAATAAAACAACAGTAATTTAGTATAAAACTACAAAACATAAAAAATATAAAATAAACAAATACATATTAATTGACAATTTAAATAATACATACCAACAGACTGAGTAAAATCATTTATTGAAATACATTCTACATTTGATGCATCAACAGATTCATTATTCTCTGGGCATATAGATCCTCCTTAAATAAAACAACAGTAATTTAGTATAAAACTACAAAACATAAAAAATATAAAATAAACAAATAAAAATGAATTGACAATTTAAATATTACATACCAGCAGACCGAGTAAAATCATTTATTGAAATACATTCTACATTTGATGCATCAACAGATTCATTATTCTCTGGGCATCTAGATCCTCCTTAAATAAAACAACAGTAATTTAGTATAAAACTACAAAACATAAAAAATATAAAAAAAAAAAAAAATGAATTGACAATTTAAATATTACATACCAGCAGACTGAGTAAAATCATTAATTGAAAATTAATTATTTGTAACTAATTTAGGTAATAATATTTAATTAAGGTTTACATTTAGACATTTATTTTAGGTTAATACATACCTAATATATTATGATTCAATATTTTATTATTTAAAAGTTAAAATAGGTATGTATGTATTTAATAGAGAATAGAAAATGGCACAAATTAAATATAGTGCATCTAAGTATTGAAAATTGAACTACCTATTTAAAATTAGTTTTATATTTTGAATCCTGTATTGGAAATGCATTTTTCATAATATAAAATAAAATTTAAGTTAAGTAGGTATTTTGTATTTCAATTACATAACTACATAAGTGATAGTTACCTAAATGATAAGTAGAGCAAAGGACTTTTAGGTTTAAAAAAGCACTAAATATGCATTATGCAAGCACTTAACATTTTTTAATATTTCTGTAATTTTTAAAATGTAATACTTACCAATAATTCAGTTAAAAACAGAGTAAAATTGTGTAAATATAACTTATAAGTATAATAGATTAATAGGTACTTACTCAAATGAGGTGAAAAAAAAGATTTGATATCTTGCGTTTTTCTAGCGCTATTTTTAAGGTTTTTCAATTTACAAGCCTTTAAATGCCTGTTCCAGTTTGTCAAGTTCATTGACGTCTTAATCTTACCACACACACATTTTGTTTCATCCATAGTATATATTTTAAAATGTAAAAGTATAATATGGGTAACGTCACTAACGTGGGTAAAATGATGAACTTCAAAAATCTTAAAACAAGTACAGTTCTGCGGATTACGATTCATAAATCACGCTGCCTAGCTTAGTGCCTGCCGGTAGACATACAAGATACAACAAATAACTAAATAAGAATCCAACACATTCACTCGTATTTTCTGATCCGCCAATGAACACGAAGTGGACTATCAAAATACCAAGCAGATATCGGAAATTTATAAAAATATTCAGACTATTTATAAATACCCGTACGTTCCCCAATACCCGTATAATATACTATGACATATACATTATAAACAATAAAATTATTACCCATATTAGATAACATCCAAGTAACAACTATTTTATATAATAATAACCTACTATTATCACTAACGTCTTTCATCGATAATTTCTTTAAATTAATAAATATATTATTTATATTCAATTCTTGGGTTTTTGTCACTGTACTACACGATTTAAGATAGTAAATCTATAATACTATTTTAAATCGTGCTGTACGACTACACTGAGTACACATACAATAATAACATACAACTGAACATTATACTTCTAATTTAATTACAAATTACAAACCTTTAAAAATACTTCAAGTTACCTTTTCCAAGTTCCAACCATAGGACACCCACCCACCCACCCATAAAATTTCTGTGAATCACGTGATTCAAATTTACCTCCTTCGAGCCGCCACTGATTGTACGTAATGTACGTGTACAATAAAAACTTAATAGGTACACGCTCCATAAGAGTAAGACATATTGAGGAGCCAGTAAGAAAAAGTAAATTTTTCAGACAGGCAATTTACGAACCAATGAGTAAAAGTAGTAAGCCATATGACTTGCAAGGACCAATAGTGCAATGTAAGTCGTATGAGGAAAGGGATAAAAACATACAAGAAACATCATTTTCAGATACTGTTGATAGGAATATAAATACTAATTCCGCTAACTTACCAGCAATAATAGATAGATGACTAATAATATAATTAAAATTGTAATAATTGTATAATTAATTTAGATATTCATATTTGTATATAGAGAAAATACCCACAAATTCGTGATAATGGATTTTGAATTCACCAATATTCATAAAACCAGTAAGGTCCTCATCTCAGGAGCTATTTCGAATAGTTTGGACCGTTTTAAAATAAGGAAGTTAGAAGGACGACCATTATACTTACCAGAAGACGGGGAAGTACGACCGATGAAAGACCGTGAAGTATTAGTTGCACAGAGAGCATTGGCTCGAATTTTTAAGGCGAAGACGGAACTGCGAGACATATGTTTAGAACAACTAAACCAGAGTCTAAGAGCCCCAGTAAATAGTTTAAATGCGACCTTTATACGAAACTATATACTGCGTGGTGACAAGATTAATGTGTTAGTAGTATGGGAAGGTAGTTCTGATAAGGTCATTCTCAAAAGATTAGGAATAACGGAGTTTCCTATATTAAATTTAACTTGTTATGATAAATACTTTAATAAGCAATTTTATATGCAATTGGAGACAGTAAATCCTAAAAGGACAATTTTTGAAATAGAAGTAGGTACTTATGATAAGTCAGGGAGAACCTTAAATCTTACAGAAGCACATAACTTAATTTGCAGAAAAAAACACAAAATTACACATGCACACGACCCACGAACGGATGTCATATATACAAAATGTATTTTTGACTTCGTCGTACGAAATTATAAATATGAAAATTTAATTAAACATTTTTAACAATTTAAAAATCTAAAGCTTCAAAAATCAAAATTGCAAATAACATCATTTTAATATTATAGGAAACAGTAATCTAAAATGGATAGGAATGAACAGTTATTACAAGAACTTAACATTAGTATAGCAATCCAGACGCACACGAACTCAGAACAAGGAGAATGGTATAACTTTACAGAATGTTTTGACTATCACATAATTTCTGCTAATAATGCAATACTGGTACCATACGAAAGCAGAGAGGTTTTGGAAATAATAAAATGTGTAAAAAGGTTCGTAACTGATATGGTATTGGGAAGGGATCTAACAAATCCAATATGTATGGATTTGGCTAGGTACATTGAAATTATACCCCAAGCAACAGATATACTGTTTTATGATAGGTGATATAACGGAAATTAATATATACTGGTCAATATACCATTGGAGAATTTAAAATTTTAAATATTATTATAATTGTTTATAATCAAATATTGCTATTAATCAAATAATTATTATTAATCAAATATTGTTATTAATCAAATATTACTATTAACCAACATTTTATTGTAATAAATAAATAAATAATTTACAATAAATATTATATATGTAAACTAACATTTATTATTATAACATTAAATATTATATTAATATTGTATTGGAACTATTGTATTTTAATCAAATTACTAACAAATATTTTATCTGTATTTAAATTTTATATGTAACATTATTGTATCAATTTAATCAATTGTAATACTCTAGACGAGTAATCAAAAAAAAAAAAAAAAAAAAAAAATGTACTAACAATTATCATGTAAATTGTCATAATAAGACAATGATTAATTATTTATATATTGTATCTGTAAACTCATGAACTATGTAATTTATGTAAACCAATTGTAAACTTTCACCTATGTAAAAAATTTAAAGCTTTTTGTAGCCCTACAAAATTGTAGCCCCACAAAAACCTTTGAAAGGGTGGTGAGGTGTAGCGAGCTGTGACTATTTAGCCATATGGGTTAAACACATTTAATGCATACGTAATCATACAATATTCGCACCGTGTATATATAAATATTATACTCGAGCGCTTCTTCGAATAGTAATAATATAATATCAATAATAGTAATATCACAGACTATATGAAAACAGATAGCTCACTCGGGATGTAAACATAAACTATGAATATTATCACCGCGACCAAATCAGTGTGACCACAGTGAGGGCATAACATTTCGTTTGGTCCATGACAAAAAAATGACGCGATTGCTACCTGCCGCCAACATTGAAATTCATACTAACTACCCTTCTATTCTATAGGATCTGACCTTTTACATCCCTTAGAAAATAGGTTATCTTGGCCTTTAGTTGCTGTTTGCACGACTTCCATGTGACTTATTAGTTGACCACTGACCAAGTGTGTAGTTTACTTAATTTTCAGTTTACAATTTAGTTGTACTTCTTAATTTTAAAATGGATAGTAAAAAAACAGGAATGCGTTGCTCTGTACAATTTTGCAAAAGTAAAGCAAGTACTAGGAATATAAGTTTCTTCCAATATCCAAAAGACGATCGTCTAGCATTATGGACAAAAAATTGTGGTACAGAAAATTTGACTGAAGAACTATCAAAAAAAAATAGCTATAAAGTATGTGGGGATCACTTTGTAGATTCAATGTTTTTGAACTCCACAACAAAAAACCGACTAGTTTTCAATGCTATTCCAACAATATTTAATGGTAAGTAAATAATAAAATTATTAAAACATGTTTAAAAATTATACAAATAATTTGAAAAACAAATTTGGATCTTAATAAAGTAATTTTTGGTTTAATAATTTAATTTTAATTTTAGTTACATTTTTTTGAATTTAATTTTTAGATGAAATAATGTTTGAAAGAACTAAATTGGCCAAATTACAGTCGAAAACCGATGTAGATCCACATTATTTTGATGATAATTCAAAAGACCAGAGTAGCTGTAGTAGTTCAATTCCAGGCACTGAAGGATTAAGAAGTCATTTTAGTGGATCCATGAATACTTCTGATGCTTCAAATGAATCTTGTAGCTCAATCACAACTACTGATTCTTCAAATCAAACGCCTGGATACTTATCGGCAAATACACCAAGGAAACAAAAACTAGTCACGGAGATTAAATCTGGAAAACAAGAAATAAAAAATTTAAAGAAGACTGTAGTAAGTCTAAGTCAACAATTAGCTAACTATGATACAGTTGAAAATTTTTTAAAATTAGGCGAAAAATATTTATCACCTGGATTATTTACAATTGTCAAATCCCAAATGAATTTAAAAAAAAAAAACAAAAAGAAGGTTATAGATATAATAATGAAATTAAACAATTAGCATTAAATATTTATTTTTTAGGACCTAGAGTCTATAAACTTTTATTAAATACTCTTTCACTACCATCAATTTCTACTTTAAAACGGTTAACTCATAAATTTGAAATGATACCAGGCTTGAATGAATTTTTTTTTAATATTATTAAGTATAAAATTAAATATTTTACTGACGAAGCTAAAGAATGTGTTCTCTGTGCAGATGAAATGGCCTTAAAATCAAATCTCTATTATATGTTAAACAAAGATGAAATTATAGGGTTTCATCAAACAAATAAGACAAAGACTTATACTCCTGCCAAGTATGCATTTGTTCTATGGTTAGAGGAATAAATGTTAACTGGAAACAACCAATTGCATACTTTTTAGTATCAAGTAGTTGTACCGGATATGACTTGCAGGATATTATTTTTGAAACTATTCGCAAACTTTTTGATATAGGATTAAATGTAAAAGCTTTTATTACAGATATGGGTTCTAACTTTGTTAGTTTCAGTAAAAATGTTAATGTTACCCCAGACAGGCCTTTTTTTAAAGTTGGTGAAAAAAAAATAATATATATATTTGACCCTCCCCATTTATTAAAATCAACAAGAAATATGTTTTTTCAACACAATTTTAAATTTAATGATAACTTAATTGAAAAAAAACACTTAATATCATTTTTTGAATAAGACAGTAAATGTAATTTAAGAACAGCCCCAAAATTAACACATTCTCATATTTTTCCTGGACCATTTGAGAAAATGAAAGTTTTTTTGGCTGCGCAAGTGTTTAGTCAAAGTGTAGCAGCCGGCATGGAGACTTACCTTGTTAGTAATAAATTGGAGTCTTCTTCAAAGGCAACAATAGATTTTATTGAAAATATGGACAAACTTTTTGATATCTTCAATTCTTCAAGAAGGCCAACTTCAAAAAATTTCAATAGACCCTTTAAACAAACAAAAGAACAAGAAGACCATTTAAAATATATGCATAATTTTTTTACAAATTTAATTATTATTAGCAAAAAAGAACAAACTGATGTTACTAACCGGATGAAATTTATTAATGGTTGGTTGATCTCCATAACTGGCTTGCTGTTACTTTGGAAAGACTTAAAATCAACAAGACCATTAAACCAACAAGAAAATTATGTTTTATACACTGCCAGATTAAACCAGGATACTATTGAGAATCTTTTTTGTACAATTAGACAACAAAATGGCAATAACACTAATCCAACTCCTTATCAATTTTTGTTTGCATTTAAAAAAATTTTTTTACTTAATTATTTTCAACACTCAGAAAAAGCAAATTGCATAAATGATTTGGATGCAATTTTAACTCAAATACCCACTGATTCAGACTTAGACATTAGCACCCTATATGCTGATAAAACACCCTTTCAATTTAAAAAAACGTGTCCACTTTCTATAGAACATGTTGATTATAGAAATTTAGAAATTCCTGAACAAAATGCATTCATTTATGTTTGTGGATATATTATGAGTAAATGTCTAACCAAACACTCATGTAAAATATGTTTAGAGTATGCAAAAACCCAAAAAAATTTAGATCCTTCATTTTTGTTATGCTTTTTTAAAGCGTATGAAAATGCTGAAAAATCAACGTTTGGAAATTTAAATATGCCCCATGAAAATTTTTACAATTATGTTTATAGCTTGGAATCTGAATTTATAAATAGTTTTCCTATTTTGTCTGTTGAAAAAGGAATAGGCGATAAACTTAAAATGAGAATGCTTAATATTGATTATGAACATCCATGTCCCAACTTTGATAAAGATTACTTACTGAATTTTTTTTTGCGTTTTAGAATTTATGCTTCAATTAAATTTTTAAATAGACATTTGGTATCTGAAAAAAAAATCAAAAACAGAAAGTTAGCAATTTTGCAGCATTTGTAAAGCAATATTTTGTAATTGTATTAATTTTATAAATATTTAGATGTATAATTGTAATTTAATAAATACCTTTTTTTATTAGAATTTAATATGTGCTAATTATACTAATTTAATTGTATGATACTACAATTGCTCCATTTATGTTTGAATACCTGTAACTAAATTATAAATTAAACATTAATTAGTTATTACTTTTGTAAATTGTATTATAAGTCTTTATATGTGTCTCTATGTTGTAAATAAAACATATTTAAGTTAGGAATAAATTATGTACTGTGTAAATATTTAGATTACCTACCTATAAATACTTATTATCAGGGCTCGTAAGTTCATGCATCTGCATGTTTTTTTTGCTACACAGGAAAACATGCTAACTGTGATACAAATCAGTTTCATAACAATAGTAATAATAGTATGAAGTTTGATAGTGCATGTTTTTGCATGTTTTGGGTGTAAAGTCATATTTGGCATATAGTTGATTTTTTACAGTTATTAGTGCATATTATTTCATAAAAATATTTTTTAGACAAATTTGAAAAATTTGAAAGGTTTCTTCCGATTTTTGATATCTTGTTCCAATCGTCCAATATCGCATGGTAAATTATAACGGTTTTTTAAATTTTTTATTGATTAATTATTTAGCTAATTAATAAAAATATCGAAAATCGGGCTTCTTACGATTGTAAAAAAAGTTCTACTCTACAATTTTTATAATAGGTATTTTTACTGTAAACTACTTCAATAAGCCGTATTACTTGAATTACGAAACCATGGTTTTATGCCATATTTTGTCTACTAGTGCGCCCTCTTAAGTTGGAAAACATAAAAAATACACTTATAAAATATATATTACTAAATTATCTCAAAATGAAAAACCTAATATTTAATTCCAAATGTTTTCATTGTTGGTGCTGAATAAGGGTGTACACAAATTAGACAAAAATGACTACCTAATTAAAATTTATAAAGATGTCAAAGCTATTTGAACTTCACAAGTATTAATTTTATTTTTTATTTTATTAATTTTGACTGTTAAATATATAAAAATAAAAGGAATAAAATACTTTTAAAATGTATGGATTTATTCTTATTATTTTAAAATTTGGTCATGTTTTTTTACATAATGCATATTTTGAGTTCATAATTTAAAAATGTGAAGGCATATAAATGCATATTTTCGAACTTTTAAGTGCATATTTTAATGCATATTTTGACAATTTTTAGTGCATGAATGCATGCTTATTTATGCATTTTTTAGTGCATGAAGTTACGAGCCCTGCTTATTATAGATTTACTTATATATTACCAAATTAGTATATATATCATTTTTATGTTTTAATATGTACTTACCTTTGTTTTCCTTAAGCATGGAAAATGTCTAAATATTGAAATAAATATTTTTTTTTATGTAAAGTATGATATCATCATCATGTTTACAGTCTACAATACTCACAAATGTATTGCAGGTAACTTTAAATATTAACTATATTATAAAATAATATGGTCTGTGGTTAATACTAAAAGACTAAAAAAGTTTTAATGTAAATTTAAATTTATAAAGTAAAGTTAAAAATACAGATTATCTGACTACCTGTGTTAAAAGCTTGTGTTAACAAATAAACTAATAAATAATAAAAACTTTTAACTATCGTCTTTCACAGTTTCACATGTCATTAACTTACGTCTTACTAATTACAATCGGTACATACAAATATACAATAATATTGTATAACATCTGAACAATAATTTATTTAAACGCATGTAGCTCCCAATCAGAGGATCTTATTTTTTTTCCCATTGTTTTCGGCCGAGTGAGCTATCTGTTTTCATATAGTCTGTGGTAATATCGAGCGCGTGACCATGAACTGCGTGCGACAATATATATAGGACTACGTATATGAATAAATATATGATTATGAATATATATGAATATATGAATATATATGAATATATGAATATAATTATGTTAAATAACACCACAAATGTACAATATAGATATATGTAGACTTCCGGCTCGTGCAAGCGTGTGAAATTCACAAAAGGCTTAACCGCAAGACCATATATGGTCTTAGAAAGTATGGAAGTGGCAAGGGACAGAGATCCATCGAGGAGAGCTAATGGACAAGCGTCCATCAGACGAGCAACCAACCTCAACTTCGACAGTCACACTAAATATTCATAGTCACAACTCGCTTTTAGTTAATTATTTGGACTTAGAATAATTTCTATAAAACTGTTTTATATAATAAACACAATAAATACTATCAAAAGAGGTATTGTTCAATTATTGCTTCCAAATCAACAAGTAACGCTGTTGGGCACGTTACACTAGTCTATATAGTGGGATGTGATTATTTCATTGGGATTCTAAATTTATTGGCTGTGTCATGTAGTGTATAAGTAATCTATTGACATTTGACACTGTATAGATCAGTTGACGCCAGTGGCGTGGCGAACTTCATCAAGTTATGAGGCACAAGTTATATTGTCAGACCCACCACCCATCCCAAAAAACATTACAAAAAATTTTTTACGATAAAATATATTTATTCATTTAAATAATAATGCTTTTTTTAACACATCGGATGATTTTCCCAAGAGTGTTATTGTCTCTTCATAATTAATTTTGATGTCCCTTTCACAGCTCAAAAACATTAAGCTTTCCAAACGTCCCTGATGGCCTGATCCATTGTAGAACGTAAACGTGTCTTAATAAGTTTAACCTGAAAATAATAATAATTGTAATTAGTGATAAATTTAATGTTTAAAAAAATGCAATTGTATTTCTGAAAAGGTAAGTTATTATAAATACTATGAGACCTTTACAAAAATCTTAAGCTCTATATTCAATTTTAAACGTTCGCCCCATAGAAGTAAAAAATAAAATTTAAAATCCAAACTTTTATAATACAAAGCAAGGCAATTAAATATATATATTTTAATTAAAAGCTTAGGGATTGAGAACATTTATATTTTAGAAGCAGAAGAATCAGCAATCAAACTTACTTTGGAAAATGATCTTTCCGCAGATGCAGATGTAACTGGTATAGTCCCTAAGACTTTGTATGCTATATACAAATTGGGAAACGCTGCTGACAAATCATACTTGGACAATGTATAAAGAATAGTACTAACACCAATTTTTGTCATATTAATTTGTTCATCTTGAGTTATATTTTTTTCTTCTTCTTCACAACTTTCACTTGATGAAATTGATTCTGGGCAATGCAACAAAGTAGGTAAATCTATACCTGATGTAAGATCATCAAAACTTTTAGAAAAAATAATATACTCATTACGTAGTTGATTTATATCAATTTCTGGTAACCAAGCCACTAGGTCAGCAAAACTATCTTGAGGAAGATGTTGATTTTCATTTTTAAATTTCCTTAATCTTTCTGGTGATAAAAGTGTAAAATCTTTTAATATATTGTTAGAGTCATTGAATCGAGATTGAATTGAAGTAATTACTTTGTCCAAAACTGTAAAGTATGTATGACATCGATACTTGTCGAATGATGAGCTCTGTACTTCATCGGAAGCTTTTTCTCCAGGTAAAATTTTTTTAGTACGTTTTCTTGATTCTTTAAAGTCTACTTCTGTTAGATTATGATTGTTAGCAAATTGTTTTGCTTCTTTTACCATTTCCTCATATTTTTTGTCACTTCTCATCTTAGCTAATTGTTCTTTAGAAGTATTGATTAAACGCAGAGCTTCAATAAAGTCTACTGATTTAGATTGTAAGTAGTTTGATAGTGGTGTTGTAATAGAAAATATTTTTCTTAATAATATCATTGTTATAACAAAATCAAACGATGATATTACATTCAGAATATTCTTTGCACCAGATGATGTAACTCTGTCAGTTGACTTAAGTAAACATTCTAAAGTTTCATATAATGCTTTATATTTTTCAAAAATAACAATGATAACACGGTCATGAGAAGTCCATCTCGTTGTGGAAAATGATTTTATTCTACGGATTCTTTCAGTAGGATAAATGAGTTTTTGGTACTTAACAAACTCCGATGTTCTCTTTCTAGCTCTCATAAATCCAATTAATGCTTGAAGATCACCAAGAAATTGTCTAGTGTGTACACTAGAATCAGCTGTATCTACGATAACTAAATTTAAGCGGTGTGCAAAACACCATATGTATTTTGCCCTTGGATTTTCTAGCTGAATTAATGTGCGGAGGCCTGAATATTCACCTTGCATCGATGCTGCTCCGTCATATGATTGAGCATATAATTGTTCTTTCCAATTCAAATCATATTTTTTAGAAATATTACAAAATACTTCAAATAATCCTCTTCTCGTTCCATCTTCAGCTGTTACCAGAGAAATTAGTTTTTCTTGAATAATCCCTTCAAAAACGTATCTAGCAATCAAAGTGAATTGTTCAAGATTGGCAACATCAGTGGTAGTATCAATTATAATAGAAAACATTTTTGACTTTCATTTATAATAGAAGAACGTATTTGTTCTTTTAAAATGTCTAGTATGGTATTTTGTGTGACATTTGACATGAATGTAAGACGGTTATGGGATTTAGCATTAATTTTATCAAGATGTATTTGTAATGGTGCATGGTAGTTTGCTAATAAATCAACTAATTCCAAAAAATTTCCTTTATTAAGTGATTTTCTACTTTCATCATGGCCCCTCAAAGCTATGTTTTGCCGTGCTGTATATATAATTGCATCAATAATGATTTTAACTACTTGCCGATTTTCAGCTACTTGCCGATTCGCAGAAAGCACCAAGGGTAGCTTTAAATCTAATCTAAGGTTTTTTGAGAATAGGCTCCTACTAATTTCAGAATGCAAATGATCTGGGAGTATTTCATGGTTTTCTATAATTCTACTAATATTTTTCCAATCTCCAGAACCATTTGAAACAATATTAGTTTTCTTTGCCTTTGGCAACCCAAACAACTTGCATGAAATACAGAATATTTTATTTTTTGAAAGAGAATAAGACAACCACCAGCGTTTACAAGGAGCTTGATTTAGTACTGTTTTGTAATAATAACTTGCATGAAATGAGCGAAATTTACCATTTTTTTCAAAAGTTTTTGGAAATACTTTATCTTCTAATTCTAAAGGATTAGGTTGACATGGTCCTAATTCAACAAAATATGATAATTGATTAGAAGATACATTTTCTGGAATAAGAGCTGGATCATTATTGGATGTCTTTGGCATATATTCTTCAAAGCAAAAGTTGTTATTAGAAGCATCAATAAAAGCCTCTCCTATATATTACAAACAATACAAAATTTAGAATATTAAAAGCAAGTTAAAATGCCATAAAACCTAAAATATAATTATTCATTTCAATATTATTTTATATTCAATCGATCGATCTTCAAGAATATAAAATAATAAACTAACCAATATAACAAGACAATTTGAAATAGATGACTATCTTCTTAATAATTAAAAAAATAAAATTGTCGATCAGTCTTTCATGAACATAAAAATGATAATTTATAAGAAACCTAAAAAGCTTTATCATTTTGTCATAAATGCATTTCTATTTAAAATTAACATTGCATGAATTGAGCATAAGTACATTTTTGCATAAATAAATTATTAATTGCAAGATAAAAATAGTTAAGCCATAAAAATGCATTCTTTAATTCTATAGCTATATAAGCAATGGTGCAAGGCTGGGCAAGTTAACAATTTTTTTTAACTCGTTAAGTTATTTTAAAATAATAAAGTTAAGTTAAATTAAAAGTTAATCATATTTTTTTCGTTTTTAATCTTAAAAAAAAGTAACTTATTAAGTTGAATTTAATTTGTAAAAAAGTAACGAGTTAATTAACTTAACGTTTTAACTTAATTTTAACTATTAACTCGTTAATGCCCAGCCTTGCAATGGTGAATATCTGTTCATGGTTTAAGTACAATGTATTCAAGTTAATATATGAATATTTATTACAATTATAACTACACTCCCATAGAATTATTAGAATTTATTTATTAATACAATATTTATGTATAATAATATATATTTTACTGATCAATTAATTTGAAATTTACACTAACCTGTAGGATTGGTATCTTCAGTGACAACTTCTAAATCTATGCCTTCATTTTTACTATATAATGATTCATCAATATTTTCACTGAATCCTTCAACTTTAAATTTCAAAATACACATTTAATATTAAATTATACTATGTAAAATTCAAACATCTTATTAATAATATATTACCTGCGTTGTTACAATTGATTCTGTTTTCTTTACTGATGTCTGTTGTTGCAACAGTGTTATTCACATGTATTTCTTTAGTAATTTTACTGAAATCTTTGATTTAAAAAATAATTATACAATCAATATTGGTTTTTAAATAATTAATACTAACCTGTAGTGTTGGTATCTTCAGTGACAACTTTTAAATCTATACCTTCATTTTTACTATATAATGATTCATCAATATTTTCACTGAATCCTTCAACTTTAAATTTCAAAATACACATTTAATATTAAATTATACTATGTAAAATTCAAACATCTTATTAATAATATATTACCTGCGTTGTTACAATTGATTCTGTTTTCTTTACTGATGTCTGTTGTTGCAACAGTGTTATTCACATGTATTTCTTTAGTAATTTTACTGAAATCTTGGATTTAAAAAATAATTATACAACCAATATGGATTTTTAAATTAATACATAAATAGTATCCAACAATATGTTGTTATTCACCTTCATGGTCATCATATTTTATGATTTCGAAAATGGAAGTTATTGGTTATTAACATTTATTTTGAAAAACTTACCATTATCCTGATGAGTTTTTGGTTTTTTTGGAATCAAAAATTCTGTCAGTGTGTGGTTGTTATAATTTTTTGATGATTTTCGCTTTTTGCAAGCATTAACATGTCTTTGCCAATTGGTTAAATTAATATTTACATCACGAACGCGACCACAACTAACACAAGTTGTAGGCATTATTAATTTTGATTACTGTAGTCTGTAACGAGCGTAACGAGTAACGGCTAACGAAAAATGGAAAAGGTGTAGGGAAATTGGGAAATAGTGAATACTAATTTATAACCAGCATTTGAGCATTGATTATATAATCAATGTAACTAGTACCTAATTTCTATAAATAACTAATAAGAAACTTAGATAATATTACAATAATAGTGTTAATGATAATTTTATGTTATCATTAGGTACAAAAACACTGTGTGGTTCACATTGCTAATCAGTGTTGCCCAAAGAAAAGAATCATAATATTATCATTATATCATTAATCATAATATTATACATTATTAATTATTATTATAATACATTAAATTGTACTTGGTCTATATCGTGTATTCGTGTGCCGTGTGTTAGTAGGCACTTCCGTCCAGTATCAAAATTACGAGTACGGAGTATTTACATTTTATGAATGGTAACTGAGCAAATATTTTCTTAATGTGAGATAGGACCCCAGTCCCCAGGACACCCACCACCCCTCAAACTGAGGCACGTGCCTCAAATATAGTCCTTCGTCACGCCACTGGTTGACGCTGACTATAAATTTTTATAATACATAATTACAACATATGCAACATATGCATGTCTTGTGTAGTGTAGTGTTCACAGTACGTCGTTGATTTTTATTACGTCTCATAATATTAAATCATTATCAAATCATTAAATTAAATTACGTCTATATTATTATACTTTACATATCGTTTCGTTATACTTACTACTATCTTATATATTATATCCGACAATACTATTAATTATTATCTCAATTATTATTATATTATATAATATTATAAATATCACTGCAGCTGCGGACTGCAGTTCATATAGTGTCATCGTTAGTGTTGTTTCACAGTTCGAGCTCAACGTTGAATCTACGTCGTAATATAATATAAAAACAAACGGAAACACGAAAAATCCGGTAAGATATTTTATACTAATATTATAATACAAGTACGTTTTTTTTATAATTATTTTTAATTATAGTAACTCTTTCGTAATTTATTTTTTTAAATTATAATTTTAAACTTAAATTTCTTTCAAAACTTTTTTCGAATGCCACATTTTTATATCAATAGTTAGCCAATTGGTCTTGTGCTACAAGTATTAACGGGGTGTCCCACCGAGATCTGACAAATGACTTAACTTTTGCTAAATTTTTTATATAAATTTAAAATAGCCAATTTGTGAACCTGATTATAAGAACAATTTTTATGGTAAAAACATTTATATAAGTCAAGTAGTTTATTTTTTAGAATTTTTTTAAATACCTATAATTTTTTTTACGCCAGCACAGTTATTTTCAGAAGCTATGACGGGTCTTTCGGAAAGTATTCTAGAAGAACTTCCGAAAGAAAAATCTATTAAAAAATCAATTCAAAATCAAAGGACTCAGAGTTTTCCAATAGTACCTGAAAATCTAACACATTTAAAAATAGAAGGTATGTACTATGAATATTGACAGTTAATACAATAGTCAATATTATTTATTTATACTCGGCTTAACAGGCACAAAATACAACACGCTGTTCTATTATATAATTATTATATTAGGTATAAATAATTATTAATAATAATAATACAGTACATTTATTAACATTGATATGTGTACGATAATTACTACATATTAAAAAAATAATTGATACAATTAATAATTTTGAATAATCGCTCCACTCAGAATCTAAAAATTAAAAAATATAATAAAGTATATAATAAAAAATTAAATTATACTATCAACATAATATATTAATTATTAATATAATCATAATTGTATTGTAGGTGAATGGAGTATTTATGAAAATGAAACGTTTTTATTATTTGATAACCATAGTGAAGAAAATGAAAGGGTCATCATTTTTGGATCTAGAAGTAACTTGAAACTCTTAGCAAGTTCAAATACCTGGTATGCAGATGGTAACTTTGGATTGGCCCCGAAAATTTTTTTACAATTATACGTTATAAGAATTGGAAAATATAATGAATTCTTTACGGTTCTTTTCTGCCTACTCGAAAAAAAAACTCAAAGTATTTACGAAATATTCCATGCTATTCTTTCAGTCTGTGAAAAGAACAATCTTTTTCCAGATCCACTATACCTGAAAGTTGATTTTGAAAAAGCACTAATAAATGCTGCAAAAAATGTACTAGGGGAACATTTAACAATAAATCGATGTTTCTACCATCTTTGTCAGAGCACTCACAGGAAACTAGCGGAATTAGGGTTAAAAAAAGCTCTGTTTATATTAATATTTCCTCCGGAAACTTGGAATGTTCACCAAACAACTATACAAAATAATCAACGTACTAATAATGTTTGCGAGTCATGGAACAATAGATTTAGACATTTAGTCGGAGTACAACATCCATCGATTTGGACATTAATCAATAAAATAAAAAATGAACTTTTGGCTGACCGTGCAAAATTTGCTTTGCAAACTGTAGGAGAGTCCACAACTAAATGTTCTAAATCAAAAACTGCTCAAAAGAGATTAAAAACGTTAATGTGAACTGTTAAATTCAAACGAAATTGAAGTAGACATGTTTTTGAAAAAAATATCCTTTAATTTAAGAAAACGATTATAAGATAGATATTAATATTATATATATTATAGGTTAGGTTTTAGGTTATTATTATTGTATTACTCATTTATGGTGAATATTTTTTATTTATATATTATTATTGACATTTCCATTCGCTTTTACCGTGATTGAACAATTTGACAATTTTACAAATCAATTTTATTATAGTTATTTTGGTTATTTTTTCCGTGGTTATTTTTTCACGGGGTTATTTTTTCGGTGGTTTTTTTTCGGATTTATTTTTTCCGGGGTTATTTTTTCTGGGGTTATTTATTAGGCAAATCATGCAAAACTATCCACATTTTGGGAAATTAATTTAATTTTTTATAAATAATTATGTTTTTAATTCTGAGTGGACCAATGAATGTATAGGTTAGGTATAGGTACCTATTAATTGTACAATGATTTGTGTTTTTAATTTTGGATTCTGAGTGGAGCGATTAATGTATTGATCTTACAATGATGTGTGTTTTTTTTTAATTTTTTTATTTGCAAATTATTTTAAGTTAGAAATTCATAATTTGTTTTTTTTTAATCTAAGATTTGAAAATGTAAAACAAGATTTTTCATAGGTTTGTCTACCTTTATCAAAAAAAAAAAAAATGTATAGCGGAAAGTGAAATTAAATTTTTATGATCATTTTAAATTCATATTTTTACAAACTGTGTTATTCATTCGATTTCTCATGTAACTATTTTTTATTTTGATATAACTCAAAAACGAATATCTTTAGATACATGCAAATTTCACTGAAATGTTTTCAAAGTATTTTGACGCTTGTTGAGCTGTTTACGGGCATTGTCAGTTTTCAATTTTTTAAAATTTTTTTTTCTATGAACATCAAGTTTTATCTGTTGGGCCAAAAAGTGTTAAATGTAATACAAGGCTCCTGATATATTGTTACAATAGCAGTTGAAAAAAAAAAAAAAAAACAGGCACAATTTTTTTTTATAAGCATTTAAAGATCAAATTTAAAATAGATTAATTATTTTTTAGTTAAAAATGTATAAAATATTCAACTTTTATGTCTAAGGATTGACAATTTAAAACAAAATTCCACGTATGTAGTTAAATTTATACAAAAACGAAATTTAATTTTAAATATTTTAAATTTTTCCGGTTTTTTTAAAAAAAATTTTTCCAAAAATAAATTGTATCAGATCTAAAATTTTTATTTTCAGTATTAAGAAATAAAAATTAAAAAGGTTATATTATTCATGTAACACAAGAGCAATCGGCTAATAATATATTTCATTTATCAGGTCTTATTATTGTCACTCTGTATTTTAAATACGCACCCACTAATTTCGTCGGTATTGGTCATATTGGCCATTAACCGACGTTAATTTTTCTTTGAAAATGTATCAAAATCGCCGATTTTCAATTGTAATATTTGGAATAAGTTTTAGAATATAATATATCATACATTATTTTTGTTTGCATAAATGCATGATTTTTTCAATACTTTTTAGTATATTAAATTCCAGGCCTTATACAGTCGATTCCGCTTTATTGGGACACATCGGTTGGGTGTTATTTTGTCCCAATAAAGCGGTTGTCCCAATAATCCAAAATACAAAAACGAACATATTGTTACATGCGGCCCTTCAGGGATCCAAAAGCTGATATACTTTGATAAATAATAATAGTCAAATTAGTATGGTAATCAAATGTATTATATTAAACGTTATATTATTTAATACGTTAATAATCGTAATAATACTCAAAATGCCCTATAAATACAATAATAACTTCAATAATATGCCCTCTAAATAAACTCAATAAACTTCAATAATACTTCAATAATAAAAATGCCCTCAATAAATAATAATCAATAATAACTTCAATAAAAACATGCCCTCAATAATAAAACTTCAAATAATCAATATGCCCTCAATAAATTCAATAAAACTTCAATAATAATCAATAAAATATGCTCTCAATAAAATTTAAAACGGTTTACACCATTACACTTATAATCAATTACCTAGATTTATCTTAATATGTATTAATTATGTTACATACGTCTATGTAACAAATTTAAATAACTATTCCCTCACAATAATGCTGCGTTCATGGCTGACGATGACATGTTGCTGATGTTGATGATGCTGCTGATGGATTTGTTGGTACTGCGATGTGACTTATTTGTTTTTGTTGGTTCCTCCTGGAGTTGTCTTCGCAGAAGAGTGATCAATTCCTCGTTGTTGACAGTAGCCTTTGACGGTTGCCTCCTTTGTGGAATCCAGTACCGACTGCGCCAGTGTTACATGCGGCCCTTCAGGGATCCAAAAGCTGATGTACTTTGATAAATAATAATAGTCAAATTAGTATGGTAATCAAATGTAATATATTAAACCAGACAAAATAAGCAGAACAGTTGTGTTGATTGTAGCGAATTGCAGCTCGTTCAAGAATTGATAATCTCCGTGTAAGTTGTGTGTGATGGCTGGGCGGCTAAGCGAGTCGTGTGTTGTTCTCGTCACTGGATACATCTACTCAGGCTGTCTCGCTGTCCCCTATATATATGGTGGCGGCGTCCTTTGAAGTGAGCGGCGCGTGTACAGTCGTCCTTGATATGGACCTCACGACTAAAAGTGGTATTCTTAGTCGAAAACACTTTTGGGTGTGGTCGCATTCCCGGTTGTTTTTATGAGCAAATACATGATATTACGTAATCCCATTACAATATAAATTTGTTGAAAAACAAATTTGTTTTATATAATTTTATTATTACAAATTACAAACAATGTATTATAGAAATTATTTGATAGTACAAAAAGAAAAACATGATATAACCTAATTATTTATAAAAATACATACATATAAAGTACATATAAATATTTTTTATTTTTTTATTATGTATTTTATCTTATTTAAAAAAAACTGTTGATTTCAGTACTCCTAAAATTTTCGAAAGACGACGTGTATTACAGCTTAGTAGCTGTAATTTAATTTTGTCCAGAATTTCTAATTTTTGAACAAACGATAAATCTTTACGTACACGAGCCATCGTTGCTACACTCGACAAACACGACTGATGCACCATTGCACCAAATAACATTTAGCATATATCACATTTGAACATACGATAAAAGATAAGATAAAATTAAGTTAAATAAGATAAAATGTAATGTAATAATCAATTACGAGAGTCCGTCACGATTGTTGAACTATTGATCTATTAATATAGTACTCGATAAAAATGTCCCAATTATCCGGATTCGTGGCCCAGATAAGCGGTGAATGTTTACCCTACAAGTATATATTTGTTTTTGTAATTGAAGAATTGTCCCTATTAAGCGGTTGTCCTTATTAATCGGTGTCTCTATTAAGCGGAATCGACTGTATTTATTTTATGATTACCATTTATTTTCTTGGATTAATTTATTTACTTTTAATAGATTAAAACCAATCAAAATGTGCATCAAACATACAATACTCGTCATCATTACAATCATACATTTCACTTTCGGATTCATTGCGTACGATTGTCATGGGCCTGCTCAAAATGTCACGTCCTTTGACAGCTTAGAAGTGGACAACTGTGATTTTCCAATAGCATCAACAACCCAACAGGTACCGAGAATACAATTACTACAAAGGATTGAAACTTACCCTGTTCATTTTAAGTCGTGTTTGATAACAGTTGATTATTTAATAACAAGATGCTCACTATTTGAAGATGCACAATTAGTAGAGGGAGGGTATTTTTCTGAAGTCGTAGATTTAGGAAATGCTCGATGTTCGGAAATTCATCAAAAATGTTCATATACATTTCCCCTGGGAGGTATAGTAACGGATTTGCAAATGAACGAAACAACATTAATATCGCACACAGTGGCAGGATCACTAGACAGATTTGGAAATTGTAGAGGCATGAATTTTAAATCGAGTAGAGGAGAATGGGAAGACGTCGTAGTACAAGCTAAATTCAAAATATATTTATCAGAAGGTTCGGCTATAGCAAATACCAAAGATAACACTCTCATACTTCCGTCGGGTACAAAAATGAAATTGTCCGATAACTATGGTATTGACACGTTTAAAGGTGAAACCGTATGGACAAATAACCATTTTAATTGTGAAGAACAAGATTTCGTTGTTTTATTTGATGGCCCAGCATCATTGATAACCTCGATCACTAACGATAACTCCAGTATATATACGTATATCGTAGAGTCGGACAAAATAGTATTTGCTCTCAAAAAAATAAAAAAAACATTTGCCTGTGAAATTCCAGTAATTCAAACGGAACACCCTCAATTAGTTATTCTTACAGATTCTATGTTTTTAAATCATTTTCAAATAAAATCTATTTCTCCTCAAAACACTGATTTAATGGCGTACATAAACACAAAATTTGTTTATGTAGAAAATGTTTTCAAATCAACAATATCCGCATCATACAATGATTTATTACAAAAACAATGCGTGCTTGAACGGCAATTATTACAGCAAAGACTTACATTAGCCTCAAACAATCTTCCGGAGTTTGCGTATATCATGGGCGGTGGTCCAGGTTACACCGCCGTCAAACACGCCGAAATAATTTATTTAATTAAATGTAAAAAGTTAGTGTCGATGTAACCGATAAAGACGAATGTTACAACGAATTAAAAGTTCTATATAACAACGAGACATTTTATATGGCTCCAAAAACACATTCTTTACAAAAATATGGAACGCAAATCAGCTGCAATTCATTATACCCACCGGCATTGAATTTGGCATGTAATTGGTATGGATTTTTCCCAAGTATCAGAGAAATATTAAAGCCACAAAAGTTGAAACCAAATACAGCGTGGACATGGACATACAAAAACCTAGATTTTTAATGAATTCCGGGTTAGGTATATACAAAAGATACGATGAAAGCTTTTCAACAACATATTATATATCCCCAAGAAGTGGACGCCGCGGCCGTTAAAAACAATATGATTAGACAGTCCATGTGATATGAAACGGTAAACCAAGGTATTCAATTTAAAAATTTAATAGACCAACATACAATTGGGCAAATGGTTGAAGATAAGTTATTCAAATTATGGGGTTGGTTTACAACAGTCGGAACTTTTGTGTCGGGGCTAATGGGCATATTCTTTGTTATAAAAGTAATATTAACAGTCGTCGACACGGGTATTAATATTACTTTATTGTACCAAACCTTTGGATGGAGTGCAAAACTCTTAGCAGTAATTTTTTCAAGTATCACCCATAACTTAATACTAGTGCACGGGATCAAATATTTTTATACATATAGACATGTTAGATCTCTGGGCAGAAGATAGGCTAATTTAAAAGGGGAGAGGACAACACCGGGACGTGCTCAAACAGGGATTTTGAGATTTTTGTTTATATATGGTCGCCGCGGGTTTCAAAGCTATAATTATAATAATAATTGGTTTAAAACTGTTGTTATGGTAACCGTTATATTATAAAAAAAAACATATTATTCATATAGCGTTGGTATTTTTAATGGGCAACGAAGTGCACGGGATCAGCTAGTTATATTATAATATGTACAGAGATACCTACATATGATATTATCGGTACCTACAATTGTAATTTTATATGGTTGTGGTGTATTTGCAAATAACACTGTGTAGTGTTTGAGTAGGTACCTATAATATATTATTGTTTACGTTTTTGTGTTCAATGTTTTAATTAAATTATTTAGAGGATGTTGCGTGTGGGCCAGAGAGAGAAGATAAATCTTCTCTCTCTTGCCCACGCGCAACATGGACAAAACGCATTAACGCAGAAATGCAGAAAATTATTTATTTTTAAAATAAACAAAAATATGTTGTTAATTTAAATTATGTTTTAATTTTTTTGAGACAATATTTAGACAAATCGATATGCCATTCCCTTAAAAATATTATTGTCTATCTTTTTTGTAATGGGTGATTTTACTCTAAGGTTAGTTAAAAAACATAGAACAAAGTTCTGCTTAAATGAATTTTGTCTATGTTGCGTGTGGGCCTGAGAGAGAAAACAAATAGTACGCTGACATTCTCTTAAGATTGAGAATTTCATACTATCAGTAAAATTGGCAGAAGACAATTCTGAAGCATCATGTTTTGAAAATGTATATGAAGATACTAGAAAAAAAAATCAAAAAAACCTAAAACATTCATCAATGATCAAATATCTAGTCCTCCTATGCTTGGATCCGATGGTAAGAATTTAGCCTAACTAAAATTTAAATCATAATATTTCTTTTCAGTACCTTGATCTAGATTCTAGACCTATAAATAAGTATAAATACTATTTATTTATTTATTTATTTATAATATATAAACGCCAAACGGCAATTTTAAATTAACACATTAAGTTTAAAATTAATAGATATAACAATAATATAATACAAACTCACACAAAATTATAACATATGGAAAAACACAACATAATATAAACTAAATGGTAATACCTAATTTAGTAATGTATAACTATGATACAACATATTTATAAATGATATTATTTAATTATTTATTAAAATCAAAATTAAGATTGTTCAGATTACGAAGCATTCTGTGCAAGGGGTGATTATGCCCGTATAATGTATTGTGAGTTGGAACTTGGAAGAGTGCGTGATTTCTAGAGAAGAAGGAAGGGATACGAAAACATATTTTAGAGAGGAGATCGGGTGCATCTATGGTGCCGCCTAGGAGCGAGGTTATAAAGTGCTCATCACCGTCTTGTCGACGAGTTGAGTATACCAAATGAACTACGAATTAAAGAATAGTCATGCGTAGGGTGAGGTATCTTCATTATGTAGGCAATGTAGGAAATAAATCTATTTTGTACACGCTCGAGTCTTAGTTCGTCTTTAGCTAGGTAGGGATGCCACACCACCACATCGTATTCTAATATAAAACGTACTAATGAGAAGTATAATATGCAGAGACAACGAGCAGAAGAAAACTGACTAGTATTGCGTTTAATAAAACCCAATACTTTTAAAGCTTTACCTACAGTGACATTTATATGATGCTCAAAATTTAATGATGGTGAGTAATGAATACCAAGATCTTTATAGAGGAAGACACGGTTAAGAGAAGTGCCATTAAGTGAATAGTTGTGGTGGATAGGAGATCGCTGCCTAGAAAACGACATAACATGACATTTGCTTATATTAAGGCTAAGACCAATGGAGTACGCCCAACTTGCAAAAATATCTAGTTCTGACAGTAGGATATGACATTGATTAAGATTGTCTATTTTAAGGAATATTTTTATATCATCAGCAAAAAGGAGTTTAGCCTTAGTGATCCATTTGGTTATCGAGTTCACAAACAGAATACATAAAAAGAGGACTAAGGTGGCCTCCTTGAGGGACTCCAGATGGTATTACAACTAACTCCGAAACAGCATTTTTGATTTTTATGAATTGTTTTCTACCTGTGATGTAAGAATGCAACCAAGATAGTAGGGGATTCCCAATGCCTAAAGACTTAAGCACCATTATAAGGCAATCGTGGTCCACTACGTCAAATGCTTTATTAAAGTCTGTAAAGATTACATCTACCTGACCTCTGTGTTCGATAACTTCTGACAAATAAGAGGAGAAGGCAGCACCACTTGTAACGGTTGATTTATGCGATCTAAAACCATGCTGCTCACTTATAATAACACTTATAATACTATTATTTATTGCAGAATCTATGAATGAAAATGAGGACTCTAACATTGAGAAGACATTTAAGCCTTCTGTTCGTGGATTGATGTCGAAGGACCAGCCGAGTATGTCTCGACAGAAGAAAACGGTTTATTTTATGGTTTTTTTTGTTTAACACCTGAATTCCGGGTGGATAGGCAACCCAACACCTCCGATCACCTAACGCCTGAGAGTTGGTTGGATAGGCAACCTAACATCTGAAGATTTCGTTATCGTATGTTGCCCCCCGAAATTCCGCGCATAGGCAATCTAACATACGGCGACTCAGAACGAGAGATTCACCGTTAGGAAGGAGGTAGGTACAGGTTAGTTATGGGGACGGGAACGCTCTGTGGCCGGTCCGGTCTGGTGCAATAACCACAGAGCATTTACATACTTGTGAGAGGTTCTTAAAATTAACTTAAAATTACTGTAGATTTTGAAGTTGGTGCCGATGTTGACGTCTCGACGACCTTGGGCGGCCTCTCAAACACCCGCCTGCGGGTGCTGGCGGACTTACGCGACGGATGGACGATCAAAGTAGGACCGGAGTGCAAGTCTCGACGAACCTGGGCGGCCTCTCACACACCCGCCTGCGGGTGCTGGTGGACTTACGCGACGGGTGGACGATCAAGGTGATATTGAAAAAAGACTTACTCAATGCAGAAGACCCCACGGAACGCTCGACGCAATTTACCAGTACAGGCTCTGGCTCATGAGTAGGTGCAGGCACGGAAGACGGGAATGACGTAACACAATATTTTTTATATAAGTAGAGTTTATTTTCCGATAACGTATGAACAACGACGGAAGTTCGGGCCTCAGTAGCGCCGAACAACCAGGAATGAAAAGATTGACTTTCCCAACAATTGCCGTAATGGCGAGAAACAAAAAAACGAAAAATAACATAAAAACGGAATATAAGTACGTGCCTCAATGGCGACGACAACAACAAATTAAAGAATAATATAACCACAGGTGAACGTAATAAAGGTTAATGAAATAAAAACAACGATAGTGGAACACGATATGGAAAAACAAAAAACAAAGAGATTACACGAGGATGTTTATCGCCGTATGTCGACGGCGGCGCGATAACGAACTTTCGGTGTGGCGCGCAAACACCTTCTATAATCTATTCGCCGTAAGTTGACCCACTTGCGCGCATGAAACTGAGCCGCCGGAACGTTCAGACCCCTGTAGTAAACCGTATTACGTAAACGCACGGTTTACTTTAATTATGTATAAATAGGTAACTTGTCCATGACGCAGAGTAAATCCTTGTACCTTGTACCTACTTTTGACTGTTATTGCGAATTTCATATTTATGGAAACTGCGTGATTAACTTGTTTTTTTTATTGATTACGTAAAACACTTCTAAGCATGTAAGCCAATCCCGTGGCTCCTTAGAGATCACGCCACGGGCATACATTTATATAAATATAGCAACTAAGTAGTCACTAAGTTAGAATTATTTTACTTTAGCTTAACTGCACATAGTTCTCGGGTACCGAGCGTAACCTCTGCCCACAAATTTCTACAATTATAAACTGTTATAGTCTGTAACTTTGTTAAACATAATAAACATTAATACTGTGAATATATACTTATTCATTTCTAAGTGCAACCTCATCGTCACTCAAGCTCAACAACGAAACGTCGAAGCACGTCATTAAATAATTAAGTGTACAAGTGTAGTACGAGAGTACTACATACGTAACTTTTGGTGTCAGGTGTGGGGTTTCTCTGAGTGAAAAATTTTGATTCATCAAAAAAGTAACTCGGGAACTCACTGACGAACTTCGACAACCCGTTCTTGGGACACTACGAAACCCAATTATTTACTAATTGGTCTACGCGCCAGCAGTTTCGTAGCTAGATCGTCGAGCCACTTCGTACATCCATTTTTGCAGTTACAGAGCATTCCAC